AGTGGGACATTTTCAATCAAAGCCTTACCTGCATAGAAATGGCTTAGTCAAGGTTTAGACCTAAATTCATTACGGAATCTGTGGTAAGAATGGAAAACTGATTTTTACATATACTCTTTACCCTCTCCGACTAAGCTTGAGTTATTTTATTAGGACAAAAGGCAACAATTTCAGTGTTTAGATGAGCTGGTACTGACATACCACAATACATTTGAAGCTATAATTGCAGTCAAGCAGATAAATCAACAACATGTTGAGCAATGCAGTCTAATTATGCATGAAGTTAGAGGCAGTAACATGACTGAGCTAAAAATGTCCCATTGAGTGTGAAAACCTCTACATTGCACTGCAAAAACACTGAACCATAACAACCAACTAGACATCATTAATGCTTCTTCAGTCACAACATTTCCTTTCTTAATAATCAGTCGGCTAATTGCCTGGTAGATCTGTAATGTTCTGATATTTCATGCTTTTATTGCTTGAACTCACTCTTTCCTGAGCTAATGGGGAAACAAACGTTTATTACAAGCACACCTGCCGTTGACCCTCGTAAGAGATTAATTGCTCAACACGTTAATTACCATTATGCCTTATGGTTAATGCCATTACAAAGTGAACTGAGCTCCAATTCAGTTCATGGTTAACAACAAGCTATCGTTAAATAATTATATGCTGAAGATTTGTACCATGCTGAAGTACGCAGAGCCTAAAAAGAGGCAGGAAATAACCAAAACAAGCTTTATTTATAGAGACGCTCACTGTGGTTTAACCGTGGGTTACACAAGGTGATAGTTACCATGGCTCTTGTACGTGGCTAGAGAACTCTATGTAGAATGCCTTTTTTTGTAAAACAATCTTGAGAAGAAAGATAGATCTACTTCAAACTAAACAATACAGTGAAATTCATAACTTTGTTAATACTAGAAATGGTGAAGCTGATCAAACAGTAGGATTTTCTGTAGTTTTTCCCATGAGTGAAGCAGGAATCAACATGTTCAGATCTTTTCCTTCTCACCTTCAGCGCTCATCTGAAATTGTAATATAAAACAAAATCACTAAGCTTACAATCTAGTTCATGTTTTAGGCAATAATGTAAGGCAGTCTAACTTCTGAAAAAAAGGTTTTGTTGTGTGATTTCATGGAAACCAAACAAAAAGTGAGTAAAATAAAAAGCTAATTTTATTTTTAGTTGTTTTAAAAGACAGAATGGGGATGGACATGTCGGTTGGGAATATGTTCTAAGGAGGCAACACAGAGAATAGATTTAAAAAAAAATTGCAGATTTTTCAAATTCTTTTTTTTTTTTTTTTTTTAGAAAGTGAAGAAATGGGTAGATTACCCACAAATTTTCTTAAAGTAAAGGTAGAACTACTTCATCATATTGTTACTGCAGTAAAAGCAAAAAGTAAACTTTTTAAAAATTACCCAAGTAAGAGTTAAGAGATAAAAAGACTTCTCAAGTAGGCCTACTGACTAAGTGAGCTACTTACTACCCATGATCATACTGTTACAACTGATGTCATATCTTTTGAGTCATAAATCTCAGAAAATCAATAATAACAGTTTGTAGAATAGGTTAAATTACAGTATTTACTGTATTATCACTCAAACTCCAACTGACCCATCAGACTCAGCAGATGGAAAACAATATTTAACCAATAAGCCTTGAGTACAAAAAATAATTGTGTTCATCAATGGTGCATATTTGTTTAAAAGAAGCTTGTTTTCATTAAGTGACTACCAGTCGATGGAGTAGCTAGAGATTTTACTCAATTAAGAGTAGTGATATTTTATCGTATGTTTACTCAACTAAAGGTAAAAATGTAACAATGCTCTAAAAAGTGCTTCAAAAATTATTTTTTTTAAAGTTACTCAAGCAATGTAACTGAGTAAATGTAACTAGCTACTACCCACCTCTGAGAAATAGTTCATCTCTGCAGTTGAACCGTTTGATTGAGGTGTGTGGGGCAAAGGACTTATCTAGCAGTTGCAGGACATCAACCCTCCAGGATTCTCATTTGAAGCCACTGGTCTAAGCTCACCTATTATACTGAATAGGTTGCTTAACATGTCCCTTTGCATTCCCTGTTCTGATGTAATGGCATGCGGACGCTCTGTCTGGGCTAATGAAGGTTAATTCACATTCGCTCATTCTGCTCAACCACAAGGGGACATTTAGACTGTGTATTGATGTCTGAACCTTCAATCCAAGGTTGTCAGGAAGTCATTAAGTATGGAAAACAACAAAAGTGAGACAGTAATGTCAGAGCAAAAGTAACTAACTCTGTCCTAACACAGGCATAATATTCATTACAACAAAATGCTCTGTAGATAACTGGGGCACTGCATATGAAAAATAAATACTTTAGAAAAATTCACACTGTTTCACGTTTTTTAAAGTATATGTTACCCGTTTTAATGCTTAGACCGACCTAAGACCTGTTTTTAGTCAGGCTAATATGAATAAAACAGAATTTAGCTTTGAATTGACAAACTTGGAGCATGCAGAAAAATGACTGAGATAACTAACTAAAATCATATTTTTAAGGGATTTTACTATAAGTAACATGCAAATGAGCCATTTCTTCATGAACCAGTTGTATATCGCTTTAACCACTTAGTTGGAGAACACATAAGTCCTCCCACATAATGAACTGATTAGAAATACTGGAAATTATCCTCTTCTGCTTAACTCTTTCTTCCCTAGAAAGAGCCACCTATGGAGCTAGTTTATAATTAACTTCTCTAATATAGAAATTATTTATAGATCAGTGCTTCTATGTTCCTTTAATGTGTCTGCTTCTATCTCCTTGAAGTCCAATAAGCCTCAGCAGACGGCCGATCAAACTGAGCCTGTTTCTCCTTTCCTACTGTCAAAGGGGAGTATTTCCTCTCCACTGTCGCTAGATGCATGTTCGGTGAGGGATTGCAGAAGAGTCAATGACAAAATGCAAATGTCTACTGTTGCCACATACTCATCCAGGAGGAGCAACTCCTGAAAAGTCATTGCAGTCTGGTTTCCTTTGATGAAAATGTGTTTAACCAATCTGACTGATTGATTTGATTGAGTGGTCTCTGCCTTCAATTGATTTAATGAATTTGTTTATATAAATAAACTGAATTGAACTGAAGTGAAAATTTTCCTGAAGGCAAAATAATCCAGAAACAAAAACAGAAACGCCTGCCATTACTCTCTAATTTATTTGCAAATCTCAAAGAACGATCCAACAAAGGCTGAGTTTTGCTTTTGAAAATTGTGAAGCACAGTGTGAATTTCTTTGTTTTATGCACTTCCATATAAAAAGCTCTGCTCCCCCATTTTTCAATTTCAGCCCAGAGGCTGTTGTGTAATTAGCCTCCGCCTTTTATTTAGAATAATTTTGCCCGAGCAGAACCTCTCTGACCTGTTCAAACATGGCCTCCGGCGCAGTCAGAACCAGCAAATGAGACAATAGCCACCCAGATCTGACATTCTCAACACGAATGACTTGAAACAAGAATAAATTTGGTTTGTAAAGCAACATAAGCTGTGTTTTGATGTTACTTTTAGTTTGACTGAACATAGCACAGCAACATGGAGGGTAATCACTGAGTGAGAGTCTGGTGCTCTGTTGGTGCTCTCCTTCACCGACTTTAGTTTGTTAAGGAGAATCTTTGAAAACAATGAAAAACCCTTTTAGTGAAACAACAAAAGAATATGCAAGATCATAAGAGGGTGGCTCTCCTCCTTTTTGACATCAAAAGTCTTCTCTTTGCTTTTCTGTGACTTATTTGTCACAGAATATGGATGAAGAGTCTAATTTACAGAGCAAGAAACAAAAGGAGCATTTCTCTTTAAGTGGTTTAAAGATGGCAGCATGGGATCAATCTTGATCCAAGAGAGACATGGGAAGAAAATACACAAACACATTTGTTTAATCTTTGGAAAAAGGTTGTCTTTTTTCCATTTTTAGATATGGATGTAAATAGGTTGGCAACTAGTTGTCGGGTCTGACAGGCTTTTGTTTTTTTGATGTTGACCCCAGCATCCTATCAGGCTTTTGAATGGGAGAGACTATGTTTGAATCTCACAATCTCACAGGGATGATCTGACTTCTATAGATAACAGTCTTGCTTTTTTTATCCCTATATATTCTACACTGGAGTTAGGTATTCAGAAGAGTATTTTCCATGTATCACATTAGGTTTCTTTCTCTTGAACTCTGAGGGTAAGCTCATTTTAAGCCCCCTTTTACATCTCCTGCTAAGAGGGTGGAAAGTCTTAGCTGAGGAAACTGGGTCTTGGAAAGGGTCCATTCTCATTTTCAGAGCATGTGGACTGGTAATTAATTGACTTCCTCCTTGGTTTACATTTTGTCAAGCGCTCCAAAGAGCAAAAAGCAGGTGGCTGAATTATCATATCCATGAAAATGAAGCAACTAAGCCTGGGAAATCCTTCACCACGGCATTCTATATCCCCGGAAAACTTCCACAGGGGTACTGACAGATGTCTCAGTCAGAGAATACCTTTGAGGCCAGGGAAGCTCCCGTTTAGCTGGAAGTAGCCTGAGGCCACTTGATTAAATAGAAATCAGGTCACATCAAATGTCAGATCGCAAAAAATAATGGTCTAACATGTTTCTCTAACTTTCTGATTTCCAGAATGAGACAGACACCAGTCAGCATTTATTTGATGAGGTCATACAATACACTGTTAAATGCAGGTTTCCTTTGGTTTCAAGCAACTGTAACACACTGCAGAATTTCCCTAACAAGAAATGTTATTTATTTTATTTAATGTCTTTTTTATTTTATCTTTATCTTTTCAGCTGATTTAGTCCAAGACACAATTCCACATAAAATAAAATCAAATTTAATGGACAGATCGGTCTCGCCTGTGTAGTTTTATCAAACCTCAAAGCATAAAACATAAAAGTGTTTTCATATCAATAAATCCATTACTACTGGCATTTTGATTTAAGTAATTTTATTCCTTTTCCATTATGATGTTTTTACAGAATCCTACTTTGGGGACAGCTATTGCAGCATACAAGCCATTCAAGATATCTCCAGTTTCAAGCTGTCACTGACTTTCAAAACAAGTCGTCGAAGTGGACTTCTGCTCCTTGCTGCTGGAATGGAGGACTACCTGTTCCTTGAGCTTCTGAATGGGAAACTACAGGTAAGGGTTAACTGAAACAGAATACATGTGTTCATGATTAAGTGAAGGCAGACATGTAGAAAAAATAGGACTACCTATTAAACCTGTAGTTCTCTCAAAAGAAAAGTTGACTCAGTCATGCTTGATTTTCATTAGAAAGACCCAGCGAGTGAGATTCAGGGATTTTGTTTTCTCTGCAAAAGAATGAGATCAATCTAATTTTCAAGCTTAGCTAAGTGTTTTTGGGTTTATGGAAAGCAGTGAGAAAGTTTAAAGAAAAAGGCTTACAAAAGAATTTCAAGGAAATAAAAAAAAATTTAAAAAATCAGATGTCGGTCTAAAATTGATGAAAAGTCATGGAGGCTGCCAAGATGCTTATGCAACTGCATTGAAACAATCCCCAATATTCAAAAAAGTTTCAGGGAATAAAACCACTGGAGTTATATTTGCCTAGTTGAAAATATTTCTCTATGGGCTTTAAGCTGTTTTGGAAGAGCTGTTCTGCACCCTTGAGTTCACATGCAGATTAGATTTACCCCAAAAATTCAGGCATGATTACTGTGGTTGTTAGCCTGAGACACTGATGCCCCTTCCAGATGAAGCTGGGTTTGGGTATATCCAAAAAACATCTTGGCCAAATAGGGGGTCCCATCCAGATGAAACAAACACGAAACCGAATACATATAATCCGACCAGAGTGGATGCATTTAAGGCAGATTCACATGGCATCTCCATCTGGATACCCATGTCCACATAACAGGCTGCAAACTGGCATGTTTATACAAGCAGACCATGTGTCAGCCATGTAGACCTTGCCATCCTTAACATGCTCATGCTGACATAAACAAGAGCAGCAGACTTAAGAGATGCCAGCTAACCAATTCTACGGGAATTTTACACTTACACAATTTGCTGCACTGTAACCAGTTCACAGCCTAAACCTATTTTCTCTCTCCCTCCATTCAATTTTTACGCCCTGCTTCATACTTTATTCATATAACTTGTTCAAAATTTCTACCTTGTTTTAAGTTTGAGTGGGCACTAAGTTCAGGGCCATATGTTTTTAAAACATGAAATCTAAGGTTAAGCTAATTCAGAAGGATTTTCCACAAGACCAACATCCCAGTCCACTTTACACCCAACGAATCCCTCCAGATAGAGGCTGTCCAATCAAGAACATGATGCAATCCCAAGGAAAAGAGAAAAAAGAACCTAAACATCTATTAGGCATTAGGTGCAGCCATATTTAGATATGCCTTACGTGTCTCTACAATTAAGGAAACTGAAAACTAGGGAAAATTTCCAGTTGTTTACATTTTAAAATCTTTGGGTTGAAGTAGAATGGCATGATCAAGGTTGAACCACAAATTAAAAAGAAAAACAGAACACCAAATCAAAAGCAGCTTGATGAAATCGGCTTGATGATTTCATTCATTAAAGGCAATTTGTATGTATTTTATAAACTATATATATTTTTTTGTATTACTGTGTCATACAAGTCTTACGTCACCTTAAAGATAAGAGGTTCTGAAAGAATGTGTGTTGGTCTGCCATTTTCACATCCACAAAAATATATTTTAGAAGTGTGTGTACCTATTGTGTACACTGTATGAATTATGAATTGTAATAATAATGAGTTTATATTTCTGAAATTAAAAAATGTTTATTCAACTTTAGATTTATACACAATAACCAGTTTCTTATTGAAAATAATGTAGATCTGAAGCTACAAATTTCTTAATATATTTATTTTGTCTTTGCATAGGCACGAATGAAACTAGAGGCAGAAGAAGTGATGCTTTCCTCTTCTCAAGGAGAGCCACTGAACAACCTGGTTGACCATCATGTGTTACTGACATTAGAAGACGGCAAGCTCACTATGACAATAGATGGTCTGGTTTCAACATATGTTCCTGTGGGTGCTGGTGAGGAAAGACTAAACATTGACCAAGGTATCTGGCTTGGAGGAACTGGTGACCTGGACACTCCCTACCTCAGCAATGCCATCCCACCTTTCCGTGGCTGCATGTACAACATTATGTTGGAATCCCATAAATTTGACATTCTCCCATTGGCATTTAAGCAATGCCATGACACCAAGGAATCCTGCAGCAGTGAGTTTGATCATAACGATGGAGAGGCAATTAGTTTCAGCACCCCGGATTCCTTTGTGTCTTTTCCAACATGGAGTGGATTTAATCATGACCAAAGGACACTTGAATTTCTAATGAAAACCACCTTAGATGAGGCTTTACTTGTTTTCCACCATGGCAGTGAGTCAGACTTCATTGCTGTTGGTGTTTTAGGAGGCCATCTCAAAGGGGTTCTGGACCTTGGGGAAGGGGTGAAGGTCCTTGATAATACACAAGTACAGTTGGATGATGATCAGTGGCACAGAGTTAAAATTCAGGTTAGCCCGACCTCTTTTGCTCTTATTATAGACAGCCGGATATCCTCCATTTCTCTCGACTCAGCACAAAAACTAGATTTGATAGGAAACCTGTATTTTGGAGGCATCCAGGCTAAAATGAAGGAGGTATTCCATGAAAGTGGGTCCTTAAGCCGTTTGGAGACGTACATGTCATCTGAGTCATTTATTGGATGCTTTGGAGAAATCTCAGTAAATCAAAGGGACCGAACCCTGCAAGATGCTCTGGTCACCAAAGATGTTCATATAAAATGTGAAGGAGAAGACTATGACTACTCAGCTTACTATGAAAATGAAACGACAACCCCTTTCCCACCTGTCATCATTCAATATCCTCATCCTACAACAAGAGAGCAAGATTGTCATCCAACAGAATCTGAGCCTGAGGTGTTCAGAAATGTAACCAAATTTCTTAAAATCGCCCCTTTGCTAGTTCCTGAAGGCGGGGAAACGTATCTAGATATCAACAACCTGAACCCTTCATTTGACCTCAGTGTTGCCGGATTGCGTCAATCTGAGATTGTCTTTGAACTTCATAATGAGCCTCTGTATGGCCTGGTTGATATCAACCTAAAAAGAAGCACAAGAGAATTCACCCTCCTGGATGTGGTCAACAAGAAAATTAAGTATATGCATGATGGAAATGAAGGTACCAAAGATCAAATCCAATTAGAAGTATTTGCTCAAAGTAACAGTTACCTTCCAGAGTGCTTAAAAACACCTCAAAGTTATTTGCTTCCAGTTATGATCATTCCAGGCAACAAGCAACAGACACCAGGTGTCGCTGTTGCACAAATTACTATCGCAGAAAAGGCAAGGTCTCGTTTGAGTCCCAGTCTTCTTCAAATAACTCAGACAGACTCCAGTTGTGACCAATTAATAATAACTGTGACAATAAGTCCTTCTTTTGATTTTGGTTACCTGGAAAATGGGAAGCAACCAGGAAGAAAAATCTCAGAGTTTACATGCAGAGAGCTGAAAGATGGAAATATCTTTTTCGTACACAAAGCAGGTGAAGCCAGTGAATTAGGTATAAAAGTGTCTGATGGTGAGTCAGTAAAGCAGTCAGGCAGTTTTATTCTTTTAGCAACACAACCATCTGTGGGTATTGTCAGAAACGCTGGCCTTAGTTTGGTCCAAGGGAGCAATAAGTCCATAGGGATTGATAATCTAAATTATATTGCTTATCCTCTTCATGGGGATATCCTTTATAACATCACTAATCCTCCAGCATTAGGGGAATTAAGAGTTAGGACAAGTGATGGCACGTACAAGGAGGTAACAAGCTTCCATCAGTTTCATCTGGAAAAAGAGCTAATTAGGTATTTTAGCACAGATGCAAGTGACCAAGAAACTACCGTAGTGGATACATTTCAGTTTAATGTCTATTTGGGAGATTCTTCTATCTTAGATAACATCTTTAGTGTTGGGATCCAACCCCCCAAAATAAAAATTTCAAACCTAGAACCTTTGCAAGTCAGAGCTGGAACAAAACAAGCAATTAAAAATCTTCAGCCTGAAGTGTCGGGAAGAAACCCAGATCCAAAGACAATTAACTACATCCTTGTCAAGCCTCCTTCACTTGGAAGTCTGCAGATATTAGACGAAGAGTTGAAAGAGGGTGACATCTTCACACAGATGGACATTTTGAACGATGCTTTGACTTACACACTACGAATGCAAGGAGTTGGGGTTAGTTTCGACCAGTTTCAGTTCAGAGTCTTTCAGGAAGACCAGTACTCTCCAACATACAACTTCCCAATCGGCATACTTTCCAGTTTGAATGAAGATGTTTTAACAAATAAGGAGCTGGTGGTTTTACAAGGGGGTGAGCAAACTTTGGACAAAAAACATCTCTGGCTTCAGTCTGCAAATTCTGGAGACATTTTGTATAATGTCATACAAGAGCCAAAGCATGGACGACTCATAAGGGATTCCCCACATGGAGAGCCGAGATTTGAGGGGGCCATAAAATTATTTAGTAATGAAGATCTTGAATCTCAAAGGCTGATTTACAAGCATGATGGCTCCAGGACCACTAGCGATGAGTTTCATTTCTTTGCAAGTCAGGGAAGTTTAGACAGTCCTAAAAGGGTAATGGGTGTCTTCAAAATAAGGATCCAATTCAAAAATGAGCATGCACCTGTGAGGATCGTGGATAAAGTCTTCAATGTGGTCCGCCATGGTCAGCGCTTGCTCACAACTGATGTAATTCAATTCAAAGACGATGACTCGAATTTTAATGACACACAAATTGTCTATGCAAGAGAAGGAATTCTTTCAGGCAATATCGTGTTGGCATCCAATCCATCGCAGAATGTTTTCCGTTTTACACAAGCTGACCTAAGAGACAAGAATATCTTATTTGTTCACCATGGAGCAGATCTGGAACAGTTCCCCCTGCAGGTTTCAGACGGCTACTATTTAACCACTACGCTGCTTCGCATCCAAGCTGGCGATCCCTACCTGAGAGTGATGAACAATGCAATATTCCTCATTGACCACGGAAGTACCAGGACCATAGATACTAACGTGTTGAGTGCTGACTCCAACATGGACATCAGAGACGACAGCGAGATTAAGTTCGAGGTTACATCCCCACCCACGGAGGGCAAGATTATTGTGAGTGGGATTGAGGCTTTGGAATTCACTCAGGAGGACTTGAAAAAAGGAGTCGTGTCATATGAACATAGCGATGAAAGCCTGAAGGCCAAGGATTCCTTTAGTTTTACCGTCCGAACAAACAGGGCAGAACATTATGAAAGGGGCGAATTCAAGATTACATTAAACCAAGGTTACTTTTCGGAGCTTGAGGTCATAAACAACGAGGTCATCTTTTCCTTTGAGGGAGAGCCCACTATAATCAGCCAGGAACATCTCAAGGTAACATTTATAGTCTCTTTGATTACATTCTCTTTAAAATAAATGTTCTCTCTCTTTTTTGTAGTTTATAAATCAAAAAATTCAAACTAACATTTTTGAATTACATTCCAGCAATTATATTTTCTCCCGTCAAATTCATTCTTTAATAAATGTTGAAATAATTTTTTTTACTTTATTTTCTTGAAGTTTGCTTGAATTTTGTCAAATTTTTAGACTGCTGAAAAACAACTTCACTGTTTCATAATCCTTCCAATCAACCACATGAAAGCAGGGGCAGATCATACTGTACAGCTGCTGCTTTTAATGTGGTTTATGCAGTAATTTTCAGTCTATTAGGTGTGGAAAACAGAGCACTAAGCATTCCCTCAGGAGCTTCTTGAAGCCTACAGTTATTTCTAAGATGAGCTTGCCTGCACTTTCTCCTGAAAGCAATTAATGAAGTTTAAATTGCTGGTCCAGTCAAAACACAATCTGAGTCCTTTGTAGGTTTTATCAATCGAAATAATGTGAAACGTTTCATAATTGTGCTCTCAATTCAGCTCTGCAATATCTACCTGTGGGTTCACAACCCACTGAAGACAACATCTAGCAAAGTCTTGACAGAATGACCCATCCTATTGCTGGGATGCAGATCTGCCCTTTGGGAGTCTTTGCTTCCTCACCTAAAAAACTAAAAAATGCCTTGTATTCTGGGACTGAAAATAATAAAAAATAAATAAACATGAGTATGACAGCTACATAGACCAAAGCTTGATCCACAGAAGGGATTAAAGTATTTCACAGTGAGATTGGCTTTAAATCTACTTAAGCAACAAAAACCAAAACTTCACTTCCAAATGTCATAGAAGTACCTTTAAGAGTTTGCTACCAAAGTTCTCTTGAAATACGTTTCAGCCCCTTAATGCACAAAAAAACTCACATTCATTAAGTATACATGAAAACCTGAACTTAACATTGCATAGTTAGAATAAACCAACAAGAGTAGTACACTTTAATTTAAGTGTTTATTCAAGGCAGAACCTGCAAGGAAAGTTCATCTCGCAGATGTTTTACACATGCATTCCGATGTACCACTTTAAAACAAAACCTGCGTCTACTGACTTGTTTTCCTAACTGGTTGAGAGGACTTTGCATAATTTATTTATTTTTGTTCCCCCTTTGTTTTCCAAATAGTGCTGCAGACTCCTGTCCAAGATATAATTTAGCTTTGTATTATTAATCACATACTGAATTCTAAATTACCTGTGATAGGTTCACCGGTGTTTCACAGTCAAGAATGCATTTCTCATGAGTATATTAAGTTAGAATATATAATGAAAAGGGCAGTATAAGTTTAAACACTGAAGTTCTTTGAAAAAATCTAAACAAGTTGCTGTACACAGTTCATGCACTGTTATTGGTGTATGGTCAAATGTAACATTACTGTTACCTGATATTATTGCTTGAAGCGAGTAAACCCATTCTGAACACTGATAGAATTTCCAGAGGAGCTTTTATGATATTGGATATGAATTTTAAGTATCAAAGCAAAACAAGCAGCACAAAAAACAGAACAGACTCACTATGGGTTTTGTCTCACTGAAGAGTTGCCTAAAGGCAAGACTCATTGAAAGGAAAGTAAATAATTCTACTATTTTTTTTAGTTTAACTTCCATCCTTCAAGAGCTAACAGTGATACAAAGTTTGTTTTACAGTTTGTATTAAAAAAAATATATATATATATATATATATATATTCAGGAACCTTCCAGCAATCATCACTCACCACATCTTAAATGATGTCTCCTTTATCTCGTCAATATTGAAATGATTGCTACAAGATGTTTGGTTAACAGCTTTATAAAATAGAAATTAAAAATGCATAAAATACTATCATGTTGTGTTATATACATGCCTTCATCCTTAGAGACATGTGTATTGCTAATTCAGATGTGAGCCGTTTTGAAACACAGGCATACCTCTTTTTAAGACTAAAATAATGTTTTTTTTGACTAAGAATTTTTCTAGGCTTAAAACAAGAACTAAGCATCTACAGGGTCAATGAAAAAGGCTATAATATATTTGTAAAAAAGAAGATTTACTAACAAAGACAATAAAATCATCACTCGACTCGTATGCTTTTTGTCAATTTTTGATGTTTTTCAAAGAGTTTTTGAGCTCATTCTTGATGTGACCCACCTTTGACAACAAAAAAATCCACAAGGGCCACAGATGCACCATGGATGAGTAATTCACACAGGCAAAAAGAAATCGATTTTCCAGATAAAGTCCTTCAGTTTTGTGGTTTATTTCTCCTTAAGCAAGCAAATACAAAAGGACAAACATTTCCTCCATGCTTCTCTTGCGGTGGTAAAAGAAAAAAACCATACACCCACCCAGACTTATAGCCTATTTATGTACTTAATTCCCCCAAATTGCACATGACTAACCAAAAACAAAGGAACATAACTAAATAACCAAAAAACATAATCTTAAAACAAATATCAAATAACAAAATAAAATTAAATAGATTATCCACAAACCGTAAAACTTAGTTAATTATTAACAAAAAATAATTGGCTCTTTCAATTATTTTAATTTAGTTCCTTTCTGTCGGTCTGGGCTATAACAGGTCTAAAGATTTCTAATAGATACCGGCAGAATTTGTCTTTCTACTAAGCTTTGTACTTATATCAAATACACAGCAAACCCAGTTGTCTATTTACACCTATTTGTAACCTAAATGACAGACTATATGTATAAATAGATATTTCTATTTATAGAAATCAGAGTTTACAAGTTAACAGTGGCTATACAGGGGTTGAAAATCATTGAGCAGAAGGTGAATGAGTCTCTGATAAGTATACGATTTTTGTGACCATTGTAGCGCTCTTATATGGGTCCCCTGCTGCTGTCAGGCTCCAAGTTGCTGCATTGGAAATATTGTGTATTTGTCTCTATGTGCTCTTGTGACTGCTTCTTAGGGACTTTCTTAAAAAATAAAACAAAATAAAATAAATAATTTACCCAACTGATAGAAAAAAAACTGTTTTCCATAATTATCAAAATGTCAGCTTTAACTACTTCTACAAAATCTTTGTAGTTAGATGAACTAACTTGTTTACTTTTTAACCCAGGTTTTCTCTAAATTTGATGCAGTTGGTTTTACTCCAACATATAAAATACTGCTATTGTCTACTTTTGTCTTTCAGGTGGAGGAAGCAGGTAGCCTTCCCACAGGAACGATTTACACACTGAAAAAATTACCTGAAATCGGTCATGTGGTCATGCTAAAAAACAGTTCAGATGTCACAGCCTCCCCTGTCCTCGAATATGTCCAGTCTTTCTCCCAGGAAGACATTGACCTGGGTCGAGTCTTTTACGTCTCTGCATTATGGCAGGTAAATGAGCATTTATTTCAATGTACTTTCGATGGTGATAGTCTGGTTCTGATCTTGTTAAAAAAGAAAAAGTAATGAACATCTGTCTCTTTCAGGAAGGTGACTATTCCACCATGGACGTAAGCAACAGTTAAAAAAAATCTGGCAAAATTTATCAGGTGGCTTGTCGTAGCAGCAGTTAATCATGTGAACATCCGTCTCTTTCAGCGACACGACGAATTCATCTTGGATGTGAGCAATGGTTTCAACACATTGGAGAACTTGACCATCATCGTGGATATTATTCCCCGATTTATACCCATCCAGAGTTCCAACTTCACCATAAAAGAAGGCCTCAGTAAAGCTCTTGATACAGAGATTCTGAACATCTCGCATCCCTTCTACAATTCACTAAATATCGAATTTACTGTTGAGGAGTTTCCACAGAATGGGGAAATACGTGACGACGAAGGAAATGAGCTGCATTACTTTGCATGGGATGATGTAAGCATATACACACTCACATTTTATTTACAGTAATAATGATTAACATGTATTGAACAGCCAAGGTGCTCCTGAAGGACTTAAAAATCTACTCCAGATTTTTGCCTTACAATATCTAAAAAAAAAAGTGAACAACAATATTCTTGAAAATAGGTTTTGAGTTAAATAGTGAAATGAACAATGGAGTTGGTATTGGACATAACTAATTCATTAGACTTATCATCTTTATCAGCATTCTCTTAAATTGATTTCTTTTGTTTGTTTTGTGCTTTTTACATCGAGTTTGGGATCCTTCTTTGCGGAAAATTATTTTTTTTCTACATATTCAAAAAGCAGGACTTTTTTAAATGCTTCAAACCATCCACTGGCTCCACAGAGGAAAGCAGTATTTCGCTAACTCTGTTTATAGTTTGTTGTTACATACCCATAGGATGGTCGCAGAGAGGAGTTATGGCTGTAGCTGCTCTAAACCTGAAATGTTATATTTGAACCAAAAGAACAACATGAGAATCAAAGGATTACTGTTTATTCAACTGTCTTCTAAAGATCATCTGTTCATTGCTGCTTCTGATAGAAACAGGGCTTCCTGGAGATTAATCAATTCAGCTAAATATGTCTGTTTCTAAGTTCATCAATACGCTTTACAACAAAGATGCTTTGTTATTACCCACCAAGAGATCCTACCTGGTTAAAAAGAAACTTTTTTCCCCATCCGCTGGGTCTAAACCCACTGACATCAAACCCACTGATATTAATTCGTACAGGTATTATTGCTATCTAAATATTTTTCTTCAAATCCCTAAAAAATTTGCAATTTTACAGCTTTATTGCTCATAACTTAATTAATGCAATAAATTATTTCTATTTCTTTACCTTTTTGGATTACTTACTAACACAGAGGGTAATTTTCAGGTCAGTAGCCTGTGTAGAGATACAATTACCTCACAAATGTTGAGTTAGTAACAAAAAAACATTAAGAGCTGACATGGTTCTTTGCCATTTGTTTTTTTTTTTTTTCATTTTCCATTTGATATTAACCAAATGCATTAGTATTTGTGACAAGTAGTCCAGAGGTTGTCCAATGGCTGATGCATTTTAATATCTAATGCACATAATGCTTAACGTTTGCACCAAACCAATTAATTTAAGGGAAATGAAAAATGCTTTCATATCTCAGGGCCAAAGACCTCCCATTGTGGTCTCTCTTTGATAGCAAAAGAAAGTATTAATGTTTATATTCCACCCTAATCGCTCAGGGAAAAACAGTGAAACATCTCATTTGAATCATTGCATTGTGGTTGCTGCGCCACAGCAAGGCTTCACAGTCAAGTTTTCCCCAGTTATTAGCAGTTAGCTCTGTTTGGAGTTTGTTGTGCTGTTTCAGGCGAAGTTGTGGGGGAAGAATGTGGAAGCTGCTGCAGCACTTCTATCTGGTCTCACTCCATGTGGTTGAGGCGCCCCAGCTTTGGGAAAGTATGAAAAATGAATGAGTTCTTACAAGCGGAAAAACATCATGCATTGTGAATGGAGAACATAGTGTAGCGGAGGTAGTTAGTCACAAATCTCATAGTTGCTACAGTTAGCCTTGGTTATTCTCTCCCTCACTCTCTGCTTTGCTGAGCCAAGGTGGAAAATCTGACGTTGCCTTCGGACTGCTCCAAGCAAAAAATAAACCGGCCTGTAATAATAAGTGGGTGCATACAAACGTCCCGCTAGTTGTCCCGACAGACTCACTCATATGTTTCCTAAAGATTCTAATTGATATATTAAATTGACTTATGAATAGTATGAGTTGTGTTAGAATATGAAAGAGGAAAACAATAGAGGAAAGTCTTTCCATTTTCCAAGCAATTAACCCCATAGAAAAGCAGTTCCTCCACCTTTGAATCCTTCTTAAAAAGCTCTGTGAAAGAAAAGGTTACAATATGAAATAACCATGAATCAGGAAGTCCTGTTGAAGTTTTAATAGCTTGCTGTAACACAAGTAGCAGATGGAAACATGCAGAGAGAGTTATTTAAAAAGATCTACATTAACTTCTGCTAGAAGATGTGTCTGATATCAGTACAATCTGAGTCATGCAGAAACACACAGCCCCTCTTTTAAACGTATGCAAGCTCTGTTAGGTCTAAGATGTTATTTAGTTAGTTTCAGGATAAAGGAGATCAATTTTTTGCATGTAGATTCAATATGGAGCAAAAAAGATTTGGCTTTTGCAGCAGAAAAGGATAGCTTCCCTTTTAGAGTTGAACACCAAAGTATACCTCATTTGTCTTAAAATATCACCAAATTAAAAAAAAAAGTCACAGTGGTTAATGGGAACCTTAATGTTTCCACTGGATGGTTTCTCACACATAAGCCAATGATTATTCACTTTGAAAAAGTAGGTATGAGACAATGTCTAACCAAATTATCATCCTGTGTGAAACAAGATAAGAGCCTTTTAAGCACTTCCTGTCATAGGAAGAGCCTAGTATAAGAGTAAAATGGGTTGTAAATGTAAAAATATTGTAACAGCTTAAGTGTGAGCTATTTCAGATTACTGTAATGTCAGGCAGTCACCTGAATTGAAAATGGTTTTACATGGCCCATTCTCCAAAGGTTTTTACACAGAAAGATCATTAGGAGCGGGCTGCCTCCTATTTCAATTTCCCATGTAGGTTGTCATTGACTTCTGTATAAATAAGCATTCAATCTAAATGATGGCGATGGTTTAAAGGAAGGAGATTCTACAATCTGGGATGGGTCTTTTTATTATTTAAGAGCGGAAAAACAAAAATCAGAGGCTTGCTTTTTGTTTTGGGTTTTTTTTGGTAGTTTTGAAGTGAGATTTTGATGCTACCTTACCTGCAGTAGCACGCATATCAGCATCTGTTTCATTCAGTAGAAATCCAGACAAGAAGGTCTGAGAGGAGAGAAAATAGAGGTGGAATTCTACCATCTTAAGAAGTTAGATTGGTTTAAATGTACAGTGGAGGAATTTTGCTATTTTTTTAAAAGAACTGCCCTCTCCAATTAAAAAAAGGCACATGCACACAACAGTACCCACTCCAAAAAGGGATCCCCTATTAAACTCACCCAGTGGGCACCGTTACATCAATTTGATGTTGAAGATTGGTCAAGATTTTGACTTCCATGATAATTATTCTACAGAAGCTTATAGTTGTAAAAAGGTCCAACCAATAAATCAATCTAGCATCCAAATACTGCCTCATATTGCTAATAAACATATTTGAACTTAAAACAATATCTCTGCACAAAAACTTAACTTTAAATTGACGTTGATTTGATGTCTGGGAATAAGGTATTGAATTGATGT